AGATGAACCTGGACAGAAATATCCATATCATGGCAACCCACCAGTACTGGCTAAATACCAATGAATAGATCAACTTTCTAGGTCAAAGTCAAGGTTCCCCCAAGCCAATGTCTCATCAGGCTGGCACAGTTAATGCATATCAGTTTCATAGCCAACAGAACATAGGGTGACCAGATGTCCCGATTTTATAGGGACAGTCCTGATATTTGGGGCTTTTTCTTATATTGGCGCCTATTACCCCCCCCATTCTTGTCCCGATTTCTCACACTTTCTATCTGGTCACCCTAACAGAACACCAGGGCATTATGGGGCCAGCATCACAGGTGACCACCTTTGAATGCTCTAACCTGATAGATCAGGTACCCATTTTGCACCTGGGTAAACTGGATGTGGCCTTTTAACATGAGATTTATTGAGCCAAAACCCCACACCCTGCAGGATTTTAGTGGAACACCTGAACCAGTCAATTACTGCACCTCACAGTTTTTAGCTACACCTCTACCCCGATATAACGCAACCCGATATAACACGAATTCAGATATAACGTGGTAAAGCAGTGCTCCGGGTGGGCGGGGCTGCGCACTCCGGTGGATCAAAGCAAGTTCCATATAACGCGGTTTCACCTATAACGCGGTAAGATTTTTTGGCTCCCGAGGACAGCGTTATATCGGGGTAGAGGTGTATTGCCTCCAAAATAGCCCATTAAAAAACTACTGTAATTAAAATGACATATTATTATTATTAATAATGCTTTGAATGCATACATTGGGTAAGTCTTAGTCTCCCTGATATAAAGATGTATGGGGAAACTAGCACAGAGAGGATGTGTGAATTGTCACAAAATGGATGATTGGAAGAGTGTGGAATAGAATCCCAGTTACGACTGTTCTTTATTTCAGCTAGACCTCACTGCCTCCCTTACAGTGTGGCCGTATTGTGAAAAATTACTCTATAAAAATGGGTACGTTCCATCTGTGTTCTCTTAATGATTCCATATCAGCTAGCACAGGTGAAAATAGCATTATTAACTTTTCTTTGCCTTCAGGCACTAGCAGGGGCAGACAACTCCCTAAGTAAACACAGAAGCCCACCATTGCCAATAATATATAAGTTCAAAGGGAGGAGCCCTGTGTGTTTGTGGGGGAAGAAAAGGGCGAGACTTTTGGACATTGCTGGTTTCACAGAGATGCATGAGGGAGAGAGAGAAAAGAAGGCAGTTTTCCCATTTATTTCAGAAATAAATTTGACCAACTAATTATATGTGTTTTAACAGAGTTCATTTTAAGTCCAGCAGGTTTATTCTTTACCCAGAACTGCATTATGCTACAAGGGCCTAGTCCAATGCCCACCGAAGTCAATGGAAAAACACCAGCGGTTCCACTGGACCTAATCTATTTTCCACTGGAATCTTCATATAACTTCAGTGGGTATTGGATCAGGTCCTACACAAAGGACACATTCTGTATCTCAAAAATAATAGTCTGCAATTTTGGTCTAGTGTCTAAAACTATATTCAAAGAAAGAGTTTAAATCCCATAAAATTTTCCTTCCTAAATACTGTATTTCCCAGTTCTTTACAATAATCCATTATATTTTATTTTTATATCTTTTATGTATCATCTCTTTTACTTTCAGCATTCTTTCTTTCTTTGCAGTCTCAGCAGAGAGATCAAGGACTGAACGACCAACGGAGACCGAACTGCAGTATCATTTCAGTGGTGACTCCTGTATGTCGAATTTCATGTGCACAGCTCTCGCTAATGTCAACTCTCATGCAGAATGAGGTTTTATATAAGGTGACCACTTCAGGTCTGAGTATCCCTCTGTGAACCTGATCTTTCAGCTGAATATTCACATGTCCCAAAGCCAGCTTCTTGGCTGCTTTTGGTCTAAGTCAGGGGGTTGCAAACTTTTCTCTTCCACATCCCCCAAATCAGCCACTTTTTCTCAACTGTTTCACTCAAGGTCTGGTGACAACTCAAGGTCTGGTGACAACTCAAGGTCTGGTGACAACTGGTGACATCTGCACAGAGAATATGGGAGGAAGGAATGGAGCTGGACTCAGGTGCTGGGACAAAAGAAAATGCACTGTAAATGCTTGTAAAAATAGAGAAAATCAAATTAATTTCTTGTTGTGAGGAATTGTCAGTCTTTGTTATTTTCATGGGTCCAAGTCTGCCCTTATTTACACCAGTGCAATACTCTTAAAGTTAATGGAGTTACTCTTGAGTTACACTGGTATAACCAAAAGGAGAATCTGGCCCATTGTTTTAGCCCCAGCACCCACTGTAGATAATTTAAACGAAGGGATCTTGAAAATAGAATCAAGGAAAAACGTGTGCAATTTCAGTTCAAGACTGATTTCCAGTCATCCAGCAAATTTCAATGCATAAGGCTAACACCACATAGGAAATCAAATCAAACAAATTAAGATGGAAAAAAATATTGATACAAAAAACTCCCCTGTTGAATCATGGTTTCTTCGGGTGGTTTCGATAAATATTTGTTCCACCCAGAAGAGATAAGCTGACATGAGGGAAAAAGTGCCTACCACCACCTCAAAAACCAACAAACTGTACCATGCCAGCCTTTGCATTCTTTCGTTTTTGCATTAGCAGGACTTTATGTAAGGACTGTAAAACAGGCTGTGTCTGGATTCCTGTACTGGCCAGGCATGAATGAAAATTGCTACTATGGCCATGTGGAGAACAGAAGATCCATTTTGTAAAGGATTTCTACATTTGGCTTCATTCCAAACTGGAAAAAAAAAAAGAACATTTCAAAATTCTCTGTGAAGGGAAATTCCAAATCAGTTTTCACTTCAGGCCATTCAAAATGTTTCATTTTGACAGAACTGAAATGTTTTGTTTAAATTTCAAGTTTTTAAAAAGTTATATTATATATATATATCATTGTAATATATAAAACAAATAGTAAAATAATTCTAAATGAAAAGTCATTTCAAAATGAAAAATTGAAATGTTTCATTCCCATAATGTTGAAATGTGATGTTTCAACATTGTTGGAGCTTATTTTAAATTTTTTAAAATTAAATTTGGCAAAATGGACCCAATTTCACAAAGAATTTCGATTTTGACTGAACCACATATTTCAACGGAATATGGTTTCATCAGAGTTTTCCCAGTTAGCGCTAGTTGCTTCATTTTGATCACATAGTACATAACCCCATTTGTAATATCTTGATATTGGATCATGATGTGATAACATTTACCTACAAGAGCCTTTTTCCGGGGGTTTCATTCCCCAAGAGCAGGGGCAGGTTCAGGTTCAGGGTTCTACAAATCGTATGGTTAGAAAAAAAATTACTTGGGTTAGTCCAGCCCTAATTTCACTATTTCTAGTTCTGATCCTGCTTGAAAGGATGTGTAATGATGCATGAAAAAGCAAATATATATGTATAAAATGAAAATGTCTTTGGGCCTCAGTAATAGAATCGAATTCACTTTTGGTTAAAGTTGGTTCTTAACAATATGAGTTTCCCTGTTGTCTGATAACCTCTAAGAGTCTGTATATAGAGAGAAAATGTTCTGAGCAAAGCTTTAAAGATAATATTACAGGAAACATTGGCCAAGGAATGGGATCTTGTACAGTTGGAACTTTTCCTTCTCTGATTTCTACCATTCTATTTAGTTTCCATAATTTTGTCTTACAATCAATAACTCCAGCCATACAAGTTTGCCAAACAGACTATATAAACAATGAAAAGCTGATGAGGGATTTGTAGATTCAGACTTCCAAGTGTGACACATTATCTGTGATGGCCAAAATGGCTTTGGTTATTGAACTCTTGGACAAAGGAACTTTCCAAGTCGTTGCTAATGATACCACAGAGATTAGCTAAATGGCATTACGTAGCTCAGTTTCCTTGATCCCTTTCTCATGATCACTACCCAATTTATTAATGGTCCAGAAAAAAAGAGAGGAGTTGATGACATGAACAATGTACTGTTCTGTGTGTTTTGGATTCCATTGACAGCACACATATGCAGCTCCATTTGCCATCTGCAATTCAGATAGATTACAAGAACTGTAGATCATTCCACTCAGCAGTCTGTTGGCCTGAGTGGTCTCTACTTTATACCTTGTGCTAAATGTAGAATTTTACACCTCCTCTGCCTTCACTTAGCACAAGTGTAAATGACAACTCAGGATGCAAGACAACAGATAATGTTGCACCATCCCTTTAAAAGTCACAATGGTTCACTTCAAAGTAGCCTTAATGTAAATGAGAATCAGGCCTGATGCTTCTATATACAATTGGCTGCTTTAAATTGTCATAACTGCATTAAGGTTAAGGAAGCACATAGATTTGCACCATGGGAAGATCTGACCCAGTTGCTTAAGTTCTTAGTTTCATGAAGGTCTCTTTATATCACTCTGGCAATGTAAAGTGGGTGTGAAGTAGAGCTGGTTGGAAAATGATAATTTTTTAGAGAGTGTTTTAGTGAAAAATTTGTCTTTAATTTGTGTTGAAACATTTCAAATTTTGAAATGTTTCAACTAGACCTACAGCATCTCATGATTTTGTGGGGCCTGACTAATTTTTGAATGCTTGAGGCTGGCAATCTGGTATACTTTATCAATATTATGAATTATGGATATAAGATATCTGGGGTGAGGCCTTTAACATGCAGGCAAAATTTGTCACTGGGAATCTTGTTTGACTTTATGGATTAATCATCTAGGTTTGATTAAGCATTGTTAAAAGAAATGTACTGTGTGTAACTATAACAGAAAGTTATGATAAAATATATTGAGTTTACCATTACAAATGGTCTCTTATCTGCTACATGTGATTGACACTATCAATCTGGTGACAAATTGCTTGTTAGAGCAATTACACCAGGAAACAGTGTGTAATGTCATAAATGAATGGATACATGCCCATAAGACAAGTTTATTTCAATAGTTAACCTTCTCGTATTTAACTTTGGAAACTGGTGTATAAAAAGTAGAAGGGTTTGTTTCATTTAGCCCAGCAGATTTTGAATCTCCTCTGCCATCAAAATGAAGCTCGCTGTGAGTACATTTACTACTTTCTTCTTATATAACAGGAATGTTGCACAGGGTTGGGATGTGACCATGCACACGCAGAACTACTGCTAACTTCATTAGAAGTTTTAGAAATTTTACTTTCAGCAGAGATTTCACTCCATAAGGAAATGGACCCATCTATGCATTAATCTCTAGAATTTTAATGAAAATAGGAGAGAATTTTTATCCCACACTTAAATGTATGTTGTATTGTCTACAGAGTGCCCAATCCTCATTTACAGTACCTAAGCTTAAATCAGAAGTGATTCCATGAAATTTGAGGGGGTTACAACACTGGTGTATGATCACAGAAGTGAGGGGAGAATCTGCCATAGAATCATGAAATGTGAGAATCTGGATATATGACTGGAGAGCAAAACTGTATTTAAACTCATCCTAGTTTGTTAACGAATTAATTCTAAGACGTTACTGAGTCACATTCAGCACTTACTCGTGAGAAGCTCTTATGGAAGTCAGTGGGAGTTGACATCTGAGGAAAGATTTCAAAATTTGTCTCTAAGACAATAATTATGTCTTGAAATGACATAATGTAAAATTATTAAATGTTACAGCAATATATATTGGCTCTGACTTAGACTAAATAAATTAAGGAAGTTTGAATAATATTTAGCCTATGTAAAAATTATGTATGTATTTAGAACAGAATAACAAAAGCATTTAGCATTATTGTTTTCTGCAATAAATAAGACTGTGTCAGCCCTTCCATTATTTATTTCTGTATTCAGGGGTATTGTTAACATTTTCTTTGGATTGAAACAAAGAAGTGCTACTTATGTAATTTCAAGGTTTGTTTATGTTGTGTCTGTCTCAACTTGAAAATCAATCTCTGATGTGAACTCTTAAATTATGTCCTCTATAAATATCCAATCACTTCCAGCAAAGCATAGTCAGGTATTGAACCAGTCTCAATTTTGGTTTAGTTTGACTAGTCAATATGGGGAAGGAATTAAAGAGAATTCCCCTGCCCGGTGTGACCCACATGGGGAAGGGGTTAAGGAGCCATAAAAGCTATCCAGAAATGCACTTGGAGAAGTACAGAGATGCTACCAAGATGTTCCCTCGGGGCATGCCTCACCCTAAAGGGAGTGGAGAGGGGCAGGTTATGTATCTCTGCACTGTTCTCAGCACAGGACTGTGCTGATCAGGCATGACCTAACTCTTTATGAATACACATATAATGTAATGTTATTGCTCTGGTCAATATTCAAAATAAAAACATCAAGGGAAAAAATCAACTCTCTTTTAAAGAATGAAATATTCCATCCAAAGGGTTCACCTCCTATCCAAGAGTTTATAAGCTTGTCTCCCACATCCTGGACATTCCACTATTTTAAAATACACTTTTTTTTGGTAGGCTTTAAATACTCTCACAGTTCAGGGCAACTGCACATATATTCCCTTTCCATGGTCCATCAAGGACAAACACTCTACGCAGTCAGCTGGTCATCTGTCAGCTGCTGACCAGAGTTTTTCCAGGCTGCACAGTTCCCTGATTACACTGTGATATTCCCAGCAAGCCAAACTATCCAAAAAGGCCAGTGTCTATGCTTTGCTTTCTCTTTGAAGGCTCTGAATGGCTCTGATTGCCTGCACTAACAAGTCAACACACAGCAAGTATATTTATTCTTAAGGTGAAAGCATTACAGAGAAAACATATTAAAAACAATAAAATAACCTACATGCCTCTTAATAAGTTTACTAGAGATCACCCCCCAACTCCATCAAAGGCTCTGACAGGAGTCAGTCCTTCACACTCCACCTAGCCTTTTTCTGTGGTTACAAGTTCATAGCAGCCTTAGCTTAGAACCAGAACAACCATGAATAATTCAGTTTTTTCTTTATACAGCTTGGCCCTCTGATCGTGGCCTCAGGTGATCAGCAGACAAAGGCTTAGGGTGGAGCTTCAAAAGGACTTTTGTATTACTGAGGGTGGGGAATTTGCATTCACCTCCTGCTAGATAGTTATCAGGAAATACACTTCACGTGTACTGTCCCAAAAGACCCTTCTTCTTTGCCATATTGTTCAATATAGTCCTTTGATCATCCAGGCCCACAATAATACATAACCTTTACATTTGATACAATGGACTCCAAATATATTTGAACTTAATTCAGCAAGGTTTTTCAAGGATATTGCTGGAAATTGCCAAATCTGTTACAAATACTATGAGCCAAATGTTGCTCTTCTCACCTAGGCAAAGCATCCTGCCCAGGCTAATAGGAATTTGCATCAGAAAAAGTAACAGATTTCCCCATATGATTATTTCAGCATATTTGAATAATCTTCAAATAGATTACAGGTTAGGATCCAGTCCAGCAAAGCACTTAAGCATGTGCTTAAATGTAAGCACATGCCTAAGCCTATTCTTAGACAACAAAGAACTTTTAGAACATGTTTTACCAAGGCAAGCACTTACATTGTTATGCTTCCAATGTTAATTTCAGATTGTGATTGCTGCTCTGCTCGGAGTCTTCCTAACTCCAATTTTTGCTAATGATGTAAGTATAATGATCAACTCTTATCAGAATGTTTCTTTTGGGCTGTATGAGTTTTCACAGCTGAACAATAAATTTCTGAAAAGGAATCTAAGATTTCCTTAGTGCATTAAACTGACATAGCACAAGATTGTGTTTGCATGCTAAAGAAAATATTTAGTCTGTTTACTTACTCAGGGGGAAAACTCAATTATTGGCAGTTTAGGAAACATCAAATTATATATTGATACTAGTATAAATATTATGAAACCATTGGGTGGAGTGGTGGGATAACGATAGCATTGAGGATTTGATCACAGAAACACAGTACAATGATATCAATGAATGTCTGTTTGCAGATTAATGATGGGGAGAGCTGGATGGGAAACGTATTTTATTTTTCATGGCATTTGTTAGATTGCTATTGTAGGCAAGCTTATCATACCATCCCCTCCATAAACTTATCAAGCTCACTCTTGAAACGAGTTAGGTTTTTTGCCCCCACTACTAGTCTTGGAAGGCTGTTTCAGAACTTCACTCCTCTGATGGTTAGAAACCTTTTTCTAATTTCAAGCCTAAATTTGTTGATGGCCAATTTATATCTATTTTTTCTTGTGGTCACCATTGGCCCTTAACTTAAATAACTTCTCTCCCTTCCTGGTATTTATCCCTCTAATGTATTTATAGCATAATCATATTCCCCTCAGCCTTTGTTTGGTTAGACGAAACAAGCCAAGCTCCATAAGTCTTCGCTTGTAAGATAGATTCTCCATTCCTCTGATCATGCTAGTAGCCCTTCTCTGCACCTGTTCCAGTTTGAATTCATCTTTCCTAAATATGGGAGACCAAAACTGCACACAGTATTCCAGATGAGGTCTCACCAGTGACTTGTATAATGATAATTCCTTATCTCTACTAGAAATACCTCACCTGAAGCATCCCAGGATTGCATTGGCCTTTCTCACGCTACATTACATTGGTAGTTCAGTCACCCTGTGATTGATCAATACACCCAGGTCTTTCTTTTCCTCTGTCACTTCCAACTGATATGTCCCCAGCTTATAGCAAAAATTCTTGTTGTTAGTCCCTAAGTGCATGACCTTGCACTGTGCACTATTAAATTTCATCCCATTTCTATTACTCCAGTTTTCAAGGTCACCCAAATCTTCTTGTATAATATTCCGGTCCTCCTCCATATTGGCAATACCTCCCAGCTTTGTGTCATCTGCACATTTTATTAGCACACTCCCACTTTTTATGCCAAGGTCATTAATTAAAATATTAAATAAGATCAGTCCCAAGACTGATCCTTGAGGAACTCCACTAGTAACCTCCCTCCTGCCTGACAGTTCACCTTTCAGCATGACCTAGTGTAGTCTCCCCTTTAACCAGTTTCTTACCCACCATTTAATTCTCCTTTTAATCCCCATCTTCTCCAATTTAATGAATAATTTCCCATGTGGAACTAGATCAGTCAAATCTACTGCATTTCCTTAACTAGAAAATTGGGTATCTTCTCAAAGAAAGAGATAAGGTTGGTCTAGTATGATCTACCTTTTCCAATACCATGCTGTATTTTATTCCAATTACTGTTCACCTCTATGTCCTTAACTGCTTTCTCTTTCAAAATTTGTTCTCACACCTGGCTAAAAAAATTGAAGTCAAACTAATGGGCCTGTAGTTTCCCAGATCACTTCCCCCCCCCCCACCCCCTTCATACTGTATTTGCAATTCTGCAGTCATAGGAGACTGTATTTACAAATTAGCTCTGAGTTACTACAGAGAATTCTTTCCCAAGTGTTTGACTGGTGGGTATTGCTCATATGCTCAGGGTCTAACTGATTGCCATATTTGGGGTTGGGGAGGAATTTTTCTTCAGGTCAGATTGGCAGAGACCCTGGTGGTGGTGGTGGTGTGTGTGTGTGTGTCTTCCTCTGCAACATGAGGCATGGGTCACTTGCTGGTTTGAACTAGAGTAAATGGTAGATTCTTTGTAACCCCAAGTCTTTAAATCAAGATTTGAGGACTTCAGTAACTCAGCTAGAGGTTATGGGTCTATTACTGGAATGGGTGGGTGAGGTTCTGTGGCTTGTGAACTGCAGGAGGTCAGACTAGAGGATCATGATGGCCCCTTCTGGCCTTACAGTCTATGAGTCCATGAGTCTAAGAACCTTTATGCTTTGGCTCAGATAGTTTTAGCAGCGTCCCAGCCACTCTACAAAGTCTCTCTGTTATATCCCTTTAACGTTATTTTAAGGCCAATGATTTTCCATAGCACTAGTTATGGAAATGGATTTATAGAACAGATCTTTAGAAATCTAAACACATACATGCTTGTCTTTAAAAAAAAAAAAAACAGAAAGGGAATGAAAACAATCAGGGAAACGATGGCGGAAACTCCCACCAGACTGTGAGCATCAACAACGATAAGCACGTGGCCAACATTGACTCAAACAACGGCTTGAACTCATGGAACTCCATCTGGGACTATGGCAATGTAAGTGGCAAACATGCATTTTTGGAGACTCCTTGAACCAACAGCTCTGCGCATTCTGCTCCACTGGATTGGGGCATCAATCACTAGTAAGTAACTGCATTGAAAACAATGGAGTTACGTCAGTGTAAATAAGACTCCAACGAGTCTGATTCTCCTCTCACCACCTGTGTTGCGCTGATGTAAGTAATTAACTCCATTGGCTTCAGCGGAACTATTTTTGATTTATGCCTGTATAAGTGAGAGCAGAAAACAGGCTTGAAAAGAGAATTATTTTAGTTTTCATTAAAATTCAAAACTGGTAGAGTGGTTCTCACCGAAGCCAAGGAAAGTATGAGCAAGACCAGTTAGGTGCAAACTTTCAAACATACGCTTCACTTGCCATCTAAATCTGAATCCAGATCTTCCACGGCAAAAGAATCGAGTGTATTAGGAAAAGATTTTCAAAAATGCCTGGGAGTATCAATGGAACTTTTAGTCCTAAATCCTTTAATGGCTTTGAAAATGTCCTGATTAACCTTTTTACTACTTCTGGTACAATATATGTTGCGTCAGTATTATCAACTGAGCATCCATTCACATGCCTGAAACAGGAGAGCATACCAATCATATAGCCGCACTGGAATGCTTATTTGCTTCATCCATGATAAAAATGCACCAGTCATCATGATAGTATGACTTAACAAATAAAATTCATCATTTGCTTGCACTATAGCAAGTCTCTACACATCACATTTCTCAATACTACTTCATCTATTTTTTAAGCCCCAAGTTCCATTGCTTATTTCATTTGTGACCAAAGAGAGGAGCTGCTTTGAAACAAAATGCCACTCTCTCTGTACTTTTATTTTGCAGGGTTACATTGCAACTAGGATACTTTCAAAGAAAGCCTGCATCATTGCTAAAATGAACAAAAACGTTATGCCTGATGTTGTAGAGCTTCCCCAGCTGATTAAAGAAAAGAAGGTAAGAAGGAGGGGAAAAGGTGGGGATGATTGGTGGGGGGTGGAGCTAGGGAGTTTGCTTGTGAAAATGCATCATCTTAAAATGGTAGAAAGAGGCAAAGGTTCCAGTAGCAAAAGGCATGTTTCTCGCCAAGCATGGTTTGCTCCAAGCCTTTATTCTGGAGCCTTATTGCCTCATTCTTTGTTGCCTTGCATTTTCTGCAGTCATTTACAACAGAACAAAGCAGGTGTAAAATGCTATTAATCTGATCAGGTAGTGTTTTATACTCATTTTGCACTCTCTTAGCAGTCCGTGGTGAAAGTGACTGCCCAGGGTGTGGGTTAATGGTGAACTGGACCCCTAGTTTGCATGAGTAGTGATAAAAGAAAAAGGGTTTTACATGACAGTGGAAATATTGGCAGCACTTCACTGTTCCAATGACTCTTTTCAGTGCCCTTTTGGGGTCTTCAGCCCCTAGCCCTTCTTGGATTCTCCACTTGTGCCCTATGGAAGAGCTGAGCAATGGAGCTGACTCTCAGCTTGCTCCTGGTATCTTAGGCTGTACCCACATTGTCACAAGCTGTGCACTCTTAGGAATGTCACAAAAAGGATCATGATTTTATTCAATGCTGTTATTCTGGCTTTGCTTACTGAATGTTTAGAAAGCCGGCTCTCAAGGGCCTCCCCCAGTGGAACTGCAATTCGCTGTCTCAAAAACCAGAGTCAGTGACCTGGCCCCATATGGGAAGTCTGTTGAATCTATGTGCAGAGGAATTCCAACCTATGTTGCTCGCGAAGCTCATGGTGAGTACAGATTTAACTAATATTTCATGCTGCAAAACCACCCATTGAATTTACAATATGAAACATGGCAAGCGTGTCACTTTCCTACATGGAAACGGGCCAGAAGCAACCTGGGATATTTCAGGAAGACATCAGGATCTGAACCCAGATCTGGATCTGAATTTTGCAGGCAATCTCTATAAGGGAACCCAAAGTTCAGATCCCACCACGCCTGGATTTTATGGGGTTCAAAATACAGAAAAGAATTTTGCAGCTCAGGCTCTCATCTAAAATTTTAAATGAATATTCATACAACTTTCTTTCCACTCCACAAAGTAATGGAGAAATGCAAGGATTTCTTTATTCCCTCATCATCCTTGCAATCTCCTTGCAGAGCAGGTTTAGAGGCTGTTAGAGCTGCATGTAACTTGTCCACTCTCCACTCTATTCCCTCATCTTGTAGTATACCACCCAAAGCAATTTTGTCTGCTCTCAAGCATTGCAACGGCCTTCCAATCAATTGAACTCTTAAATGAGGTTTGATAGCCTCGAAATCTTTCTCTATAAATCAGAATGCTAAAAATCTGAGGAAGAATATATTTGAGAGCACTAAATGCCTCATTCCATTTCCCATGACAAAACTTCTATTTACTTTAATGGGAAGCAGGGTCATTTTGATTAAGGATAATGGAATTTTTCATAGAAATTTAAAGTATTTAAGGTATGTAAAAATAATATGAAGTCATGTAATGTTAGGATCTTACTTATTTCATAGCACTTGTATGGCCAAATTATTGTGATAAACTTCCTTTATTGTTTGAAACAATGGTGGGGGGAAAATGGAGCTGTCTGTGGAAATTGCTAAAGCATTCATTTTCCACCACTGGCTTTTCCTTCTTTGTGCTGAACATTGCTCCAATAACTGATGAAGACTGACTCATGTTTGAAGTTTGGAGAAATAAGAAAAATCATCACATTAAAGTAAAAAACTACTTTTTCTCTGATAAACAAAGACTAGAGCAACACAGCTGCACCGAAACAAATTGTTTATATCTGTTTGCTTAAATCTGAGTCTATAGGTGGCATAATTGCCTTCTGCAAATCACGGCCTCATTGTAGATGAGAAAGAGATTGGTCTTTTTATTTTGATGAAGGTAGGTCATGCTAGCTTAGGTCATGTGTGTATATAGGACAGAGGATAAAGCCTTATATGCCATTTAAATTCCACTTCTGCCCTTTTTAATAGTTTAAGTTGGACTTAAGAGATGCATTGAACTCATGCTGGCTCATTCCACAAAGGTGAACATCACCTGGATTTGTGAGGATCTAGATGGTTCAGAGGACAATCTTATGGCAGAAGTATCTCCTTTCAGCAAAGTGTGTTGAGATGCCATGGTATTGCTCTGAAAACCTCGTAGTCTCCCTATTCAGTAGTGCATTTTTTTTTTTTTAATTATTTTTTGGAATACTCAATAGTTGCCAGTTTTTTATAATGTAGAAACCCAGCGTGACTTTAAGACTGGTACTAAACAAATAATCATTCTATTTCAGAGTTACTGGGCCCTATTACCCACTTTGTTACTCCAGTTTTGCACTGCAGTGATTGCATTGATTTCAGTGCAGCTGTATTGAACTAAAATTAAACCAACCCAATGTTGAATCTGGCCCATTATTTCCTTTTGAGTTGAATCTTTGCTACTTATTGTTAGCAAGATTTTAAAGATGACTGTAATCAGTACTGAAAAATAAAATGAAAAAAATTGAAGAGGCCTCAAGACATGGAGGGATAAATCATTCTCTGTTGATTGTTGACATCACAGTCACACAGATATGCCAATACGGGCAGTGTAAATATCTAAGATGGAAGAACAGATATCCAAGTACTAATGTCCAAGTGGTCCTGAAACTGAACCAAAGCCCATGGAAATAATCTTTTCATTAACTTCAGTGAGCTTTGGGTCATGCTTCAGTATATTAAAATTCTGCATGCAGGAAAGGAGTTTTTTTTCTGATTATAGTAACTCATTGTCATACAAAAGAATTAACTGTAGGGCAGGTAGAATTTTAATGCTGTTGCTCACAAATTAATAATCCACTGATTCCCACATCATGATAGTTCATTGAGGGTTTTTATTAGATGGCATAGACCTTGAATAGTTTGGATTGAATGGGAAATGGTTTGGAATGTTCTTTGCAGGAGAATTATTCAGGACTGTAATGAATAGATGACTATGATAACATTCTTAGCCATCACCTGATATTCATTTTTGTTTTTCTTTTTCCTTAGGAGACAATTATTCTGGACAATGTTTCAAGACTAATATAATGCACACAATGACATTAAACTATTGCAGCTAAACTGCATCTTTCAAATAAAATCGTTGCTGATAGAATCCTGCTAGCAATGCCCCCCACTGATTAGAAAAATAATATATGGAGGAGAGGAAAATAAATATCTGATAACATGATGATGAAAAGAACTGCAACAAAAATGTTTTATGTGTAGAACAAATCTAGGCTGTTACAATATCTGTCAATAAAAGGAATTAGTCAGTTATGCCATGTTTCTAATCATTTCTGTCTTCTGTCACGGATAATGTTTCAGGATGTGATCTGAGAGGTTTGGGCCTGGTTAGTATTTGGATGGGAGACCTTAATGAAAGAGAACCTTGGGGCTGCATGCAAGGAGGCTAATGATTTAGAACTGGGGTGGCCAACCTGTAGCTCCGGAGCCACATGCGGCTCTTCAGAAGTTAATATGCGACTCCTTGTATAGGCACCGACTTCGGGGCTGGAACTACAGGCACCAACTTTCTAATGTGCCGGGGGGGGGGGGGGGCTGGGAGGGGCTCACTGCTCAACCCCTGGCTCTGCCACAGGCCCTGCCCCCACTCCACCCCTTCCCGCCCCCTCCGCTGAGCCTGCTGTGCCCTCACTCCTCCCCTCTTCCCCTCCCAGAGCCTCCTACACACCACGAAACAGCTGATCGGGAGGTGCGGGGAGGGAGGGGGAGGCACTGATCGGCGGGGCTGCTGGTGGGTGGGAGACTCTGGGAGCGGGTTGGGGGAGCTGGTGGGGGGCGGCTCACGTATTACTGCCGCTCTTTGGCAACGTACATTGGTAAATTCTGGCTCCTTCTCAGGCTCAGGTTGGCCACCCCTGATTTAGAAGGTTGCAGTCTCCCATGTCAGTAAATGAAGCAGTTTCCCTGTGTGATGTTAAAGAACACTGGTGCTTTCCATTACTTGAAACTGAGATCCTGAACATGCGGGCCTTGAAGAAATCATGATTCTTTTTGCAAGAATAGGGTTAATGGTAGTGTACTTGCCCAATTCCAATTAGGGCAAATTAATATGATTATCTAAAATTTCCCACTGCAGTTTCAATTGGCTATGGTACACTGATTCATTTCCTGAATTAAACTCTTACTGAACATTGTTAAACAACAGCTGCATTACACGATAAGGTAGCTGTATTTCAATAAGGTTTATTGACCCAGATGGCTATTTAAGCATCAATAAACTGAAATAATAATAATTGAAATCCAGATGCATTTTATAAACACACACACACACACACACACACACACTATATATATTAGGGCTGTTGATTAATCGCAGTTAACTAACGTGATTAACTCATAAAAATTAACTGCAATTAAAAAAATGAATCATGATTAATCACACTGTTAATCAATAGAATGCCAATTGAAATGTATTAAATATTTTGGATGTTTTTCTACATTTTCATATACATTGATTTCTATTACAACACAGAATACTACGTGTACAGTGCTCTCTTTATATTATTTTTAATAACAGATATATGCACTGTAAAAATGATAAACCAAAGAAATAATATTTTTCAAGTCACCTCATACAAGTACTGTAGTGCAATCTCTTTATTGTGAAAGTGTAATTTACAAATGTAGATTTTTTTTTGTTACATAACTGCATTCAAAAACAAAACAATGTAAAACTTTATAGCCTACAAGTCCACTCAGTCCTACGTCTTGTTCAGTCAATTGCTAAGACAAACAAGTTTGTTTATATTTACGTGAGATACTGCTGACTGCTTCTTATTTACAATGTCACCTGAAAATGAGAAAAGGCATTTGCATGGCACTTTTGTAGCCGGCATTGCAAGGTATTTACGTGCCAGATATGCTAAACATTCGTGTGCCCCTTCATGCTTCAGCCACCATTCCAGGGGACATGCTTCCATGCTGATGATGCTCGTTAAAAAAATAACGCGTTAATTAAATTTGTGACTGAACTCCTTGGGGGAGAATTGTATGTCTCCTGTTCTGTTTTACCCACATTCTGCCATATATTTCATGTTATAGCAGTCTCGGATGATGACCTAGCACATGTTCGTTTTAAGAACACTTTCACAGCAGATTTGACAAAATGCAAAGAAGGTACCAATATGAGATTTCTAAGGACAGATACAGCACTTGACCCAAGGTTTAAGAATCTGAAGTGCCTTCCAAAATCTGAGAGGGACGAGGTGTGGAGAATGCTTTCAGATGTCTTAAAAGAGCTACACTCTGGGTTCTGTAGTTTCCTCATCAAACCACCAAAAGAGGAAATCAACCTTCTGCTGGTGGCATCTGACTCAGATGATGAAAATATACATGCGTCGGTTCGCACTGCTTTGGATTGTTATCGAGCAGAACCAGTCATCAGCATGGAAGCATATATTCTGGAATGGTGGCTGAAGCATGAAGCGACATATGAATCTTTAGCGCATCTAGTACGTAAATATCTTGCAATGCCGGCTACAACACTGCCATGCGAATGCCTGATCTCATTTTTACGTGACATTGTAAACAATGATGTGGGCAGCATTATCTCCTGCAAATTGTAAACAAACCTGTTTGTCTGAGCAATTGGCTGAAGTAGGACTGAGTGGACTTGTAGGTTCTAAAGTTTTACATTGTTCTATTTTTGAATGCAGTTATTTTTTGTACATAATTCTACATTTGTAAGTTCAACTTTCATTATAAAGAGATTGCACTGCTTGTATTAGGTGAATTGAAATATATTATTTCTTTTGTTTTTTACAGTGCAAATATTTGTAATAAAAAATAAATATAAAGTGAGCACTGTACACTTTGTATTCTGTGTTGTAATTGAAATCAAAATATTTGAAAATGTAGAAAACATCCAAAAATATTTAAATAAATGGTATTCTATTATTGTTTACCAGTACAATTAATCGCGATTAATTTTTTAATTGCTTGACAGCCCTAATATATATATATATTGTGGCAGAGCTCTGACCTTGTCCCCATGGGTCCTGCGCTTCTAGGCGGTATATGCTAGCCTCAGTGGCTCTCTGTGACCCTCCACGTAGCCCATCTCTCTCTAGGGCCAGGGTTACACTCTCCTGAGCCCTTTTCATCATAAGCCAGCAAGGAGGTTGGTGAGAGAATTCCCACAGTCTCTGTTGTCCCTAGGGCTTGTTTTAGAACAGTTTAGCCTCCTGTCCTGACAGGGGCCTGACTTCCCCTCCCAGGAGGTGTTCCTGTAGTGGTGGGTTGGGGGGAACCCGGGCCCGGGCCCGCCCTCTACTCCGGGTTCCGGCCCAGGGACCCTAATGGTAGCAGCTGTTGGCAGCCAACCTTTCACTGCCAGAGTTGCTACATTTCCCTGGGCCACTTCCCCACAGTTCTCCTGCTTCACCCTTACCTTAGGGCTCCCTTATCAATAACTTGAGGGTGCCTTCATTAACCAGTCCTTCAGCTGCACTTCCTCTCCTCTGGCTCCCCAGCTCTCCTCTGCCTGACTGGAGTGAGCCCTTTTTATAGTATCAGCGGGGCCTTAATTAGAGTCAGGTGGTCACATTAACTTAATGGCCTCACCTGACTCTTTGCAGGTTAATTGGAGTCAGGTGTTCTCATTAGCCTGGAGCAGCCCCTGCTCTGGTCAGTCAGGGAACAGAAAACTGTTAATCCAGTGGCCAGTATATCTGCCTTCTGCTATTCTGTTGTACCCAACTGGCCTGGGTCTATCACATATCCCTCCCCCCTGCTCAACACCAAGGGGTTGGGCAGCTTGGGACGCCAGACAGTGTACGCGTCATAAGCCATCAGCATTGCCATGGCGATTTCCTGCTCTGTGCTCTATGCGGAACTGGAAAGGTTGGAGGGATAAGAACCACCTGGTTACCCTTGTGTTCTTTTCCTTGTTCCGTTGTATCCATTGAAGAGGGGCATGGTCAGTCACAAGGATAAATCTGCATCCCAGCAGGTAATACCGCACCGTTTCCATGGCCCATTTTACGGCGAGGCACTCTCTCTCTACCACTGCATATTTTTGTTCTCTCGGAAGGAGTTTCCTACTGAGGTAGAGAATTGGGTGTTCCTCCTCCCCAACCATCTGCAACAGGACGGCCCCTAACCCTACCTCGGATGCATCTGTCTGTAGGATGAAGTCCTCGGTGAAATCTGGGGCTATCAATACGGGGTTACTGCAGAGGGCAGTCCGTAGGTCCGCGAATGCCCTCTCTGCTGCATCGGACCATCTGATTGGATCAGGACCACGGGCCTTCACTAAGTCCGTTAGGGGACTTGCCCTTGTAGCAAAATGGGGGATGAAATGCCGGTAATACCCCACCACCCCTAGGAATGCTCGGACCTGCTTCTTATGACTCGGCCGAGGCCAATTTTGGATGGCCTCTAATTTATTCAGTTGGGGTTTTACCAGACCTTTTCCTACCATGTAGCCAAGTTATTTGGCCTCCGTGAATCCTACAGCGCACTTAACAGGGTTCGCCATAAGGCCAGCTCGCCGGAAGGTATCAAGGACCGCCCCCACTTTTTCCAAGTGGGTCTCCCAGTCTGGGGTATGAATCACCACGTCATCCAAGTAGGCCGCAGCATAACTGGTATGGGGGCGTAATAACTTGTCCATGAGGTGCTGAAAGGTAGCTGGAGCCCCATGTAGTCCAAAGGGGAGGACCGTATATTGGAAGAGACCTTCTGGTGTAGAAAACGCTGTCTTTTCCTTTGCATCTTCAGCTAGGGGAATCTGCCAGTACCCCTTTGTCAAGTCTAAGGTTGTCAAGTACCGGGCATTCCCCAGACGGTCCACTAGTTCATCTATGTGGGGTATAGGGTAGGCATCAAACTGGGATATCTCGTTTAGTCGACGGAAGTCGTTGCAGAACCTTGTGGTGCCATCAGTTTTGGGCACCAACACTATTGGACTGGACCACTGACTGTGGGATTCTTCGATGATCCCCATCTCCAGCATTTTCCTGACTTCCGCTTTTATTTCCTCCCTTTTGGCTGCTGGCACCCGGTAGGGTCTCATAGTTACTCTGGCCCCAGGGTTTGTGATGATGTGGTGATATGTCCCGGTTGTGCGACCCGGCTTTGTCGAGAATACATTTTGATATTGGGCAATCATCTCAGTTACCTCTTTCTTCTGGGCTGTCGTTAGATCGGGAGACACCCTCACTTGTT